ATATTATCTCAGAAAGTTATGATGGATCGAAAATGGCTGGTAGAGCGATTTTGACAGAATTTACGGATGCACTTTAGAAGCTCATATCTCGGGATATATAAAGAGTTATATGGTGTACAACCTATCAAATTAAAGATATTCGAGTCTAGTTTTTAAATCTTCAAACCATTTGTCATTTGGATATTTATACAAGACGTTATGGGTGTTTAAGCAGAAGGTATCCGACAAGGAAAAATTTTAATAGGATGTACAACTTGTATAGCACAAGTGCGAGGTACAACTCGACGAAGCACGGACAGATTCTTTAAAACACGGATTTGGCTTATTTCTTTCATTTCTTTCATTTGGCTTGAATTATTTTGGAGAGAATTTCAAGGGGGATTTCATCAAGCATCAAAGGTGAGTTGTTTCTACTTATTTCCAAGTTGAATACATGGATTAGAGCTGAAAACTCAAGTAATTTATGGACAAAAATGGTGGTTTAGGGCTTGAAACTTAAGAGAATTAAATGAAGATTTGAGGGGCCATTTGAACTTTGATTTTGGTAAATTTGATATGTACGGACTCGTGGCGAGACGAGGAATCCGGTGATGTGAGTTTCGTAATTTTTCGAGAAGTGGGCCCGGGGCTCGGGTTTTGCAAATTTCGTGATTTTCAATATTTTTTGAGTCTTTTCGATTGGGTTATATTCTCTTAGCCTATTGTAATGTGTTCATTGTGGTTTTGGCCAGATTCGACGCGCGAAGAAGCAAATTCGAAAGGCAAGGGCATCGCGGAGTAGTCTTTTGGCCGTCTTGAGGCGAGTAATGATTTTAAATGATGCACTGAGGGTTTGAAACCCCGGATTGCACAACATACTGCTATGTTGAGATGAGACACGCGTTGTATGACGAGCACGAGGTCATTTACTATTGGGGATTGTGACTTGGTCCATCCCAGTTGATATTTTTACCGCGTAATTGATAAAGATGTATTGTTTTTCACTATGATAGAGCTTATTGCCATATTTATTTTATAAATACAGGCTCAAAATTCAGTCCCCCTTTTCTGTCCTCAGTCTCCTATTTATAACAAAGAAGTGTGTTTAAAAGACCAGTCAACCCCCTTTTTTATTCAAACTTTAGCTTTTTCAGCCTGTATATTCTTTCCCATGTGCACTCCTTAATCCCCTTTTATCATTCAGCCCATGATATTCTGATTTCCACCTCAATTTTTTTTTAAAATAGTGTCAGCTCTTCACTTCATTATTAAAAGCCCATGCTATTTCTGATTTCCAGCCAATAAAGGCACTTAACACATTATCACTCCCACCATTAATCCCTATTTTATTCATTAGTTTAGTGGTATATTAGTATTATACTGACATACCATTAAAACTGAACAATTTTTAGGCTTCTAACATCCCAAAATACCCCTCTGGGAATCTAAACTACTGCCCTAACAACTGATTTCTAACTGCTCTCTAATGTACTACAGCTATAACCAATTCACAACTAAATTCAAACAATGATTCGATCAAAATGTGAAGCAGTATGAATCGGATTATTCTAACATTCAAACCTGAAAAACTAAACGGCGACATTTATCCAATCGACTATACGAATCACATACATGTAACAATTAATTGATAGACAAATAAAACTAAATAGGCCACCAAATGATTTCAGCGGCTTTGCACAAAACAGGGAACCTACATGAATTAACCACTCGACGATATTAATCAAATCGAATACGTATCTTACCACACGTATTTAACAATGGTCAGCAGAGGAGTCGACCAAATAAAAGTTCTTATGAAGACAGAGAGAATTGGCAGAAAAATAGCAGAAAAATCAACAAATTAACTAGACATGCTAACGAACACAAAATAGAATTCAAACAAGAACAGAAGGGAAAGAGAACCTTATCTTGGAAGCTCAAAAAATAAAACGACCCAGGCTTGAACCAGACTCGATCATTTGAGGTCGTACGGACTTTAATAGAAGTGTTCTCAACTGAGAACACCTCGATTAAGGTCTATTAGATCCCAATCCTTTGTTGATTTGGACAGACCCCTATGGATTTGAGTTCTAGGGTTCTTGGGGCTCAGATTAGGGGTTCGAGCTTTTCTGGTTAGATTTGAACCAAACCAGGCTTGGTTTGGTCACGAGGGAGGTCGGGGGATTAACTAGTGTGAATTTGGGGTGGATCGGGATAGATTAGGGTTTTGCTCGAATCTTCAGACGAAGATTCGAGACGATGGGGAATGATTCGAGGCAAGATGCTAACGGATTCGTGTTCAGGGTGGTTGGGTGTATCAGGGGTGTTATTTTGGTGGTCATTGACGTCGTGGTTGCCGGGGCAAGAGTGAGGGGTGGCGGCTAGGTTTGAAAATGGGTATGTTTGGTTCGTCTCTGAGAGAGACGACGGAAGGGGGGTGCTCGGATAGGGGGGCAGGGTAAAGGGGTAGGCTTATATACGGCTTAGAAGAATTGATCCTGGCCGTTGGATAGAGAGTGATCAATGGCCAGGATCCCTTGGCTAGTGTAAAACGGTATCGTTCTACTTAAAAGGAGATCAGGTTGGTCCGGGGGTTAAATGGGTCGGGCATTTGGGGATGACTTGAGGCCGTTGGATGGGATTGGGTTAACGGTTGAGATTAGATGGCCCTATACGGCGTCGTTTGGGTAAGTGAATGGCCTGATCTGGGCCGTTCATTTGAATCAATCAATGGCTTAGAATGGGGATGCTAATACGACGTCGTTTCACCGTCTGTGAGACCGGGTCGATGTGGNATGGCCTGATCTGGGCCATTCATTTGAATCAATCAATGGCTTAGAATGGGGATACCAATACGGCGTCGTTTCACCGTCTGTGAGACCAGGTCGATGTGGACTGGGTTATTTAAAATGAATTGGGCTTGATTTTTGGTCTTAAAATTCCAGCCCAATCCAGTTTTCCTTTATTTTTTCAACCTTTTGTTTTTCTTATTTTGATTTCTAATTTAAACAAAATTTCTAATTAAATTGTAAAACCAAAATTAAACTACACAAATATTAATTAACACTTAACAACAATTAACACACAAATTAAAACATTTAATTAAAATAAAATCACACAATGACAACAAATAGAATGAAAAATGCATATTTTTGTGATTTTTTTTTAAAAACCAAATTATGGCTTAATTAATTCCTAAATGCACAATTAAATCCTAAATATGCATGCAATATGTATTTTTGTATTTTTTTTAATTAACTACAGCAAGGTAAACGTTTACGGACAAAATAATTACCCAAAATGTCACACAAATTCTCAAAATTGTACCCGAAGGCAACTTGCTTTATTTTTCGATTTCTTTTGGAGTAATTTCCGTGAAGCAAAAATCACGTGCTCACAGTGAGTTAAGCAATAAACCTGTTGATGTAATTTAACCTTCCAAGTAGGCTCATCACCTCTGTTTTGTTCTTTGGCGGCGGTAACTCTTGAATGGCTTTGATCTTCGACGGATCCAACTCAATACCACGTCTACTGACCACGAATCCCAGCTGTTTCCCAGAGGGGACACCAAATGCACATTTTTCCGGATTGAGCTTGAGGTTGTACCTGCAGAGCCTTTGGAAAAACTTCCTCAAGTCCCTAACATGGTCAGACCGCTTCTTTGACTTTATGATCACATCATCTACATAAACCTCAATCTCCTTGTGTATCATGTCGTGAAATATGGTGGTCATCGCCCTTATATATGTTGTCCTAGTATTCTTCAGACCGAATGGCATTACTCGGTAGCAATATGTCACCCATGGCATGATGAACGCTGTCTTTTCTGCATCTTCCTCATCCATCAAGATCTGGTGATATCCTGCGTAACAATCTACAAAAGACTCAATCTCATGCTTGGCACAATTATCGATCAAAATGTGAATGTTCGGCAACGGAAAATTATCCTTTGGGCTTTTGTGAAGATCACAGTAATCAACACATACCCTGGTCTTACCATCTTTCTTTGGTACTGGCACAACATTGGCTAACCAAGTGGGATATCGAGTGACCCGAATGACCTTTGCAGTAAGCTGCTTTGTGATTTCTTCTTTGATCTTCACACTCATATCAGTCTTGAACTTTCGCAACTTTTGCTTAACAGGAGGGAATACTGGATCAATTGGCAATTTATGAGCTACCAGATTAGTGCTCAGGCCCGACATATCGTCATATGACCATGCAAAGACATCTTTGTACTCAAATAATGTTTTGATTATTTCATCCTTAACTTGCGGTTCTAAATACACACTTATCTTGGTTTCCCTAACATCATACTGGTCCTCTAAATTGATTGCTTTAGTTTCACTCAAATTAGGCTTTGGTTTTTCTTCAAATTGTTTTAGCTCGTTACTGATTTCCTCAAATGCTGCTTCTTCTTCATATTCTATTTCATCATCATATTCTACTTCTTGGATTATTATTTCAGAATTAGATTGGCTTTTAAGACTCGGCTGAACATTTTTCATGCATGTCATATCATTGCAACTAGTATAAAAAGAACTGTAGAAAAGAAAAAAGAACAAAATAGAACACTATTAGGAATAACGGAAAACGGGAAATTGCATTTCATTGAAAATAAAGGGATAGAAGGGTTTGAACATAAAAATAAGCAAAAACTAAAAATCTGGATTATAACCCTGGAATAACCCAGATAACAGAAAGGAAAACAAAGCAAACTACCAAAACTCCTTCTTGGTGGGGAGAGGAGTAGCTTCCCAATTGCTAAGCTTCACGTTTGGGCCAACGAGCTGCACATCTGCTTTACTAAAGCCTTCACCAACTTCTACCATATTGACGTCATCGAACAGATTTTGGAACCTCTTAATCAGCTCTTCATCAACATCGACCACAGGTTTTGGGATTGAGGAGGTTAGAGGTTTTTCGGCCCCTGGCTTGACAAAAGACTTAGAGATGTGTGGGACGGGCTTGGGGAGCGACCATACCTTCTGTTTTAGAATTTTAACCTTTTTCACGTCCTTCTATGTGGGCATGAATCCCAAACCGAATGTACCAAGGTTCCCACTGGGGTGCACTGGATGTACAATACCCTGTAAAGATGTGCCCAGACCCTTGCCCGGCACAAAACCATTCTTCAACATTTTATTCGCAACCATGACGGATGCGGAAGATAGCTTAGGGCCCGGAATGCATTTTCCTTCAGATATTTTCTCAACAGACACTGTTTCGAAAGTCTGATAGACCCAAGGTCCCTTATTATCTTCAGCTTCGATAAACGAAACAATTGTGTCATTAGGAGTTGACAGGTCCTCATCACCGTGCATAACTATTTCCTGCCTGTCCCATTCAAACTTCACCATTTGGTACAGAGAAGATGGGACTGCCTCAGCAGTATGTATCCAGGGCCTGCCCAACAACAGATTGTAGGAGACAACCACATCTAACACTTGGAATTCCATGGTAAACTCAACTGGACCTATCGACAATTCGAGCATTATATCTCCAACAGAATCTTTACCTCCCCCATCAAAGCCTCGAACACACATACTGTTCAAGTGGATTCTTTCGGTGCCAATCTTCAGTTTTTGCAGAGTAGACAGGGGACAAATATTTGCACTAGAGCCATTGTTAACAAAAATTCTTGAGACAACAAAATCTTTGCACTTCACCGTGAGATAAAGAGCTCGATTGCATTTTGTACCCTCCATAGGAAGTTCATCGTCTGAGAAAGTGATCCTGTTTACTTCGAAGATCTTGCTAGCTATTTTATTCAAGTGATTTACTGTGATCTTATCAGGAACATGTGCCTCATTCAAAATCTTCATCACGACCCTGCGATGTTCATCTGAATGTATCCGCAAAGACAAAAGAGAAATCTGAGCTGGTGTTTCCTTAACCGCTCCACAATGGAATAATCCTGCACCTTCATCTTTTTCAGGAACTCCTCAGCCTCTTCCTCGGTGACCGATTTCTTTACTGGCATTTGGCTATCTTTGAATGGCTTGGACTTCGTTAATTCTTCTGGAGTGAAACATCTCTCAGAACGAGTCAATCCTCTAGTTTCATTAACCTCTTCCTCTACTTCTTTTCCTTTGTATGTCACTATCACTTGTTTGTAGTTCCACGGAACAACCTTGGTATCGATCACTGGCAGCTGGGTCACTAGTTTAATGATGATAGGGGTGATAGGAGCCCCTTTCACAACTAGGACATGCTTACTTAGAATCCCTGGCACTACCACCTTTGAACTTTCCGGACTTGCCCCAATATCTTTTGAATGCCCTTTCACGACCAACACCGGTGGCTTCAGATTGAGCGAGCTCGGCTTTTCTGTTGCCCCTTCAACTATCAAGGGCTTTGCTTTGGTAGAGTCTGGAGCTTTAACCAAATTACTTTCACTGGCCCGAATCATCATGATGGACTTAGAAGACTTCTTGGGCTCCCCATCCTTGTGAACTATTTCAATCATATGTGTCTCTTCATGGGCTGACAAAGGGTTTTGATTGATGTTTGGCGCGTCTAGGCTTTGGACTACAATTTGGTTTGTATCAATGAGCTCCTGGATTGCCCTTTTCAAATGCCAGTACTTCTCTGTGTCATGTTCTGGAGCATCAGAACAATAGGTGCACCTCAGGGAATAATCGAGGTTTTTTGGAGGAGGATTTGGTATCTTCGACTTAATCGGCCTCAAGACGTACAACTACCTTAGCCTTTGAAACATACTAGCATAGGACTCTCCAAATGGGGTAAAAGTTTGTTTTCGCTTCTGCCTCTCTCTTCTATACTCTGGCCTTGATCGAAAATTTGAACCATTGGGGTTTTGGTAAGGTTGTGGAGGTGGATAGGCATTTTGTGGAGCTGGGTGTGTATTCTGTGGGAATGGGGCACGCCATTGCAGGTAAGAAGGGGGTTGAGCATATGACTGTGCATGATGAACAAGGTATTGGGATGGCCTGACTGAGTATTGGGGGTTTTACGGGGAAAAGTAATATTGAGGTGGATTATATGGAGCTTGGGCATAGGTTTGAGGTCGGAGTCGAGGATGGGTGTATTGATGAGGTGAACCCCTCTAGCCATGCCATGATCCGGAGACAACCATAGTGACATCTTCCTTCTTTTTCTTGCCTAGCAAACATCCAGTACCACTCTGGATTGCCTGGGTGGTTGCTTTTATAGCAGAATAGCTCATGATCTTCCTCGACTTGAGCCCCTCTTCCACCATTTCTCCCATCTTCACCACATTATTGAAAGACTTACCAATGGCTGAGATCAAGTGGCCATAGTAAGTGGGCTCCAGGGCTTGAAGAAAGTATTTAAGTCCTCTTCTATCGAAGGATTGACTCGTGCAGCTTGCTCCCTCCGGTGGAACCCATATTCTCTAAAGTTTTCACTGGGTTTCTTTTCCACCTTGGTCAGAGATAGGCGGTCTGGAAAAATATCTATATTGCACTGAAAGTGTCGGGCGAAGGCCTGAGCCATATCATCCCAGGTGTACCACCTGCTAGCGTCCTGGCGGGTGTACCATTCTAAAGCTGCCCCACTCAGACTTTGGCTGAAGTATGCCATTAGTAATTCGTCTTTCCCCCGGCGCCTCTCATTTTACTGCAATAACCCCTCAAATGAGCTACAGGATCCCCATGGATGTCATATAAGTCAAACTTGGGCATCTTGAACCCGACAGGCAGTTGGACATCGAGGAACAAACACAAATACTTATAGGCCACACTCACATGGTTTCCCAACCCTTGTATATTTCTCAATGATTGCTCCAGACTCTTTTACCTTCCTAAATATCTCTTCTTGCTCTGCATTCTTGGGTGGTTTGTCAGTTTTAACATAAGGCTCAAATTAGGGAGTGTAAGAGTAAGGATCTGAGACTTTGAAGGTGGGCTTCAGTGCATAGTAGTGGGCATCTGGAGCGGGGAATGCGGGCTCACTAGAGGATCAGTGGAGGGTAGCTTGTGGAGGGGGTACAAAAATAGGAGCAGATGTCGGAGCAGGGTACGAGGTTGTTTGGCTGGCAGAGCATGAACAGTTTGGGCTGAAGTGCCGGGGTAGTTGTGGTAAGGGGTAAAGCCAGGGACGTGTTGTGGGGAAAGATCAATGGTATTGGGCATATGAGATTGAGAGAGTGGTGGAATGGAAGCAGGGTTTTCTGTATAGTTGGTAGGGAATGAGGGTGGAGGGTGTCCCTTAATCCAGGCCTGATACATTTCCGCCATCTGGTGCTTCAACCTCCGGACCTCCTCTTGCAATTCCGATTCCGACTCAACAATCTCTCTTGGTGGGTCTACAACTCCAGTGTCTGTTTCCTTGCTAGCCATGACTGTTTGACGTTTTGATCGGGTCTTGTATGGATGACTTGCCAGGATGCCAACAAACTAACCACCTTCCTGAAATTAAATAAAGATAACAAAGGACAACAACACAAAACCACCATGTTAACGTTAGGGCATTTATCATATGATAATATCACATTACGTACAATGCACCTAGCAATAATTAATGGTTCTAAAATGGCTTTGAGGGTCGCAGGGTCATATGGCATCATCCCAATTTGCTCATTTCGATCCTTTATCCTCTTTCTTTTCCAACACCTCTTATCACTTTTTCCTCTTTTATCTCTTTTTTTTAACCAAAAATAATTTGATCGAACCCGATGTAGGTTGCCTACATATCATGTCCCTCATGAATCAGACCAAGAGTAGTTCTGGAAAAGTGATGGAAAATAAACTAAAAACAAAAGCTTTTTGGGATTTTTCGTTTAAAACTTTTCGATATTAAAATACAAAGAGAAGTACGATAATGAAAGACATGATAGACTCGACTACACTATGACAGACTCTGCCCCTACCTAAAGGACTCAGTACTCCTAGACAAGACGCGAAAGTAAAAGACAACATAAGACAATCTCAAAACACCTAAATAGAATGACTCCTCAAGCTGCTCCTGAATGCGACAATCCTGACTGGGATGGTCTTGGGATGTCCATCATGTTCAAACTCTGTAACATGCCTCGTAAAGAAACACCGATTCTGGGAATAAAGGCCCTAGCATATGCCCCCACATCCTGAAGGCTGACCCTAAAAATATTGGCCATGCTGCTCCACGTTTGCTGCCAATACCGCTAACTGAAACTTTATCAACTCAAGCTTATCCCAGGGATCTTGGTCCGATGCCTCCTCAAAATCATCTGTCTGAACTGTCCGACCCCTAAGTTGTGCTGGCAATGGGGTGCTGACCCCTGGCGGGACAGACTGTAACCAAATCAAGTACTCCTGAGTACACTTGGGCCTGCCAACGTCCTCTACTAATGTATTTTTATTCATCTTCTTTGCATTGTTCCAGTATTGCACATACTTGATTTCGTCAGCCGCCTTTTTGCTAAAATTCATGATGTGCCTCCGAAGATTGAAAGTTGGAGGCTCTTCTTGTCTTCTGCCCAACTACCACATTACCTAACGGGAGTGTACAACCTGACACACTTGATTCCTATCAACATCAGGAAAGGCTGCATGAGGCACCTTACCAAGATATCATCCAAAGGTAGTCAAAGGTAAGCCCACAAAACATTCCCATTTGTCCTCAAACCAAGGAACTCAATCCAAGCTGTGACACCTACTGGGTATGTAAACTTAGGAGATTTCATCCTACGCTCGATGCATAACACCCGATCCCTCAAGGCACGGTCGATGGGACAAAGTAAGGAAGCAGTATGCAAATGCTCCATCATCCACAATTGTAGCAAAAGGTTACTTCCCTCAAAATATCTGACACCTCCTCTAACCTCACTCAGGGCTCGATACAACTCTGCTAAGATCATCGGCACAACGGTAACGGTTTTGCATTGCTTCTCATGAAATAGTGCCATTACCACTCACTGCAGACGGGTGCTAATGTGCCTCTCATCTAATGGAAAAACTAATAATCCCAACAAAGCAACGCTGAAAGCTTCGAGGCGACATCTTTACCACTTTGCCTAGGTTATGCAGAACTCATCCCAAAAGACGTCAAAACTATCCTGTGGTCCAAATCTAGCAAACAAATAATCCAAGGATATCCAGGACTGCTCGAGACATTTTAAATGCTTATTATCTTTCAAGCCCAGGTCGCTGAGGAATCTTGTCCTAGAGTGGTCTCGGGGAAGTATCATGTCCTTGCCTATATAGCTTAAACGAGTGAGACCAGACATTTCCGGCAAGGTAGGAGTCATCTCACACTCTCCAAATCTGAAAATCAAATTTTGCGGATCCCAATAAGTCAGCATTGCCTCCACTAAGTCTGGGCGAGGTGTGATAGCAAGAAGAGAAGTTAGGGTGCCCAATTTCTGCATTAACTCATGCTGCTCTAACAATGATTTTCCACCATTTGATCAATTTCCTAGGAATCTTTACTACCATCAGCACTTTGGATTGAATTAGCGGGTTCATACCTGAACGAAGAGAACATGGTTAGCGACTCGGGACACTACATGACACAACAACATTTCCTAGTGGACAAATGCAAGACACAATTAGGCCATATTTTGCAGATTGGCCTAAGTGACTAAAAGTGACTATTAGTGCAAACTTGACAAAGTTGACCTCTAATGCATGAAAAATACTCCATTTAAAGCTTACATGACTCCAACATCCCAATGATCATGACCTTAAAAATTACTTTGCGAAAATTGACTCTTTTTTGCAAAAATGGCCGATATGGCCAAATGTGGCTAGGGACGCAAACACGACATGGATCGACCTTAAAGTGATATGACACCGATTTGAAACTCAAGATCCTAAGACATGGGTAATTGAACCACTTTTGCAAAAATAACCCTATTTTGCAAGATTGGCCGATGTGGCCAAAAGTGGCTAAACATGCAAATTTGACAGGAGTGAACCTTAGAATTGAGAGGACACTTTATTGTAGACTCACAGCTTTAAGACAGGAGATAACAAACTACTTTGAAAAAAATACTCCTATTTTTGCAAAAACGACCGATGTGGCCAAATATGGCTATACATGCAAGATTTGGCTACGACCCCGGAAGCCAAGAACCTAGGACCTACTAGGAAGACCGGACCTATGTGGGTTACCTATGTATTCCGCCCCGGAAAACGAGAATCAGGTTCGCGTAGTTCAGGAATATGCAACTAATTTGAAAAAAACTATATTTTGTCTTTTCGAAAAATGACGAAAAATGTAAAAACTTTTGGATTTTATTTTTCATTTTTTTTGAATTTTTGGAAATTATGAAAAATGTAAAATCTTTTTGAATTTTCTTTTTCTTTTTTTTTTTTGAATTTTTTGGAAAATAATGGGAGAGTGTAAAATCTTTTTTGGTTTTTTCATTTTCAATCAATTTTTTTGATTTTTGGAAAACTATGAAAGAAAGATGCGAGTAGGCCCTACTTGCTTCATTTTTCACCCTTCTTTCGAAGACATCGGTCTTTCAAATGACCTTTTTACCCTCAGAGATGCAACATTTAGCACATAGGATGATTAAATGTCATTTTGGGTCACAGGCCTATTTTGACAAAACTTGGACAGGTTTCCTACAAAGGGACATGGTACCTGGGACTGAGCCCTACTAGGTCTAAATGACATGATGCAAATAAAAATGACCTAAAGGGTGACCTAAGTTTGCGGTTCACTAACAAGGCAATTCGGGGGAGCGTATGGTCGATTGTGGCTGCTCAAGCTTTCCACCCACTCCATACGTCTGAGGGCCCCCTCTCCTAAAATAAGGGTAACTCAACGAAGAATTCGTGTACGCGACGCGTACTCCGAGACTTGTTGCAGAAAGAATTGATCGGGTAATGCATATGATGACAGTTATAAAGCAGTAAACACATAAAGCAAAAATTGTAAACACATAAGCAACTAGCAAATAACAAAATATAAAAACATAATAAAAATTAAGTAAATCTAATGAAAAAACATAAAAACCTCAAACAAATATTCTAAAATCCAATAAAATCAAGTACTAGATCGAATCCGCAAGTCCCCAGCAGAGTCGCCAGAGATGTCACACCCCTTTTTTCAAAACAAACCTCACTTAACCCTCTTAATTAATAAAAAGACTTCGCAAAGCTCGAAAGTGTTTTTCAATTTCAAAAGTGATAAAATTGCGTTCAAAAGGAAATAACTCAAAGTCTCCACCTGATATTTGATTTCGGTGTGTCAGGTCACCGTTTTTCTAAAAGTAATTTTTTCCTTTCAAAACACTTTAGACTCCAAAACTAAGTCTGCACCAGAGATTTGGGTAAGGGGTTCATTTGACTCGGGGAGAAGGTGTTAGGCGCTCCCCAAGTCCCGTGAAGATCACGGTTACGTACTCGATCTAGTTGGTTTTTAAAGCATTCAAATTGAGGTAAAATCAGAGAAAAGGAAAACAAATACCAAAGAGGCTCGAGGTCGTCCCCACCTAAATGAAATAAAATTAAAAGAAGGAAAATTAAAGTTCTAAATTATGCTACTTCTTCTACGATGTTCGTCACGACTTCCAATTACAGAATACTACTGGGCATTCCCCAAAATAAAATATATACAAATCTTTCGGGGCATTCCCCGGATAAATTTAACTAAGGGAACGACATCTCGCCTCAAAACGAACAAAACGTCCTAATATTGCCTACCTAAGTGATGACGGCCTAATCATTCTACTAGCAAATCGATTAATGAAATGAGAATAAATAGCAACACAAATTATCCCCAAAAATCATCTTTTAACTCTTGCTAACAAAACCCATTAACTTTATGGCAGCAAAGATTCTTTTATCAATTTGTGGCTCTTAACCTTTCTTAATAAATTCAGCCCAAACGTTGCTAGGATAAAATTATAGCCCATGCAAGTTAACTAGATTAGCCCCCTAGACCCCATTCGTATCACATTTCCCTTAAATTAATTAACTAATAACAAGGATACAAGTCAGGATAATGGACTAAATAGAGGAACGAAATTGCAGACAAGCAATCAAATGAAAAAAGATAAAAAAACTATCAATAAGAGTGCATTCATCTTCATCCAACATTCACAAGAATCACATGATAAGCATTCAAAGAGCAGAGTAAGAATTGGACCTCAATGTCGAGTTGAAACTCTTCTGAAAATTAGATGAATGGCAAAACTACGAGCCAAATAATACAATAGTTTCAAAAGGTTATTTGAAGCAAAACTGGAAAACTGGTGACGGGACCTGGACCGCGATCCTCGTCGGCAACCTCGAACCTCCAGTGACCAACTTCAAACTAAACCTCGAATCGAAACCAACCAAGATGGAACCTCGAACAACGATTTGCCGAGACGCTAAGAAATGGACTATGGTTTTCCGACAGTTATGGTGAGAGAGCGATAATTGTTGCCGGCAAAAATAAAAGTGACGGAGCTTTGCTTTTGCTTTACATGACCTCAAGTTAGTTCTTATGTGGCTATGGAAAAAGAAGGAAATCAAGTGAGAAGATGAGTGTTTAAATATGTTTCTGGGTGTTGGAGTCTTGGTGTGGAAGAGGACTTATGCGGCGTTAGGGATTTTTGCTCCTACTGTGTCTTGCTACTGTTCCGTTCCTCCCTCTATTTGTGCCGTTCCTCATCACTTTTTTTCTCGCTCCCCCTTTTGGGTGTGTTAGATGCCCGTGTTATATAAGTCCAAGGGGTGAGAATTATGCTTGGGGGTAAAGAAAAGAATCCTTCAGAAATAAAACGTGTGGTCCCCCTCAATTGAAAAAGATCAATCCTTTGCATTACCTAGACCGTGCACATGAAAATAGGAGGGGCATAAGAATGAAAGCCAAAATCTGTTAATGTGCATGTGAATGTGATTATGTGGCAATAGGTCAATGACAAAAATTAAATAAATAAAAAAAAGCACGTGGGTATGAGGGCAAAAATAAGGGAAGGGATCACTTAAATTTCTTTTCTTGCTTGTGCTTTTGCTTCATCCGTTCTTTGCCTCCTTGCTTCCTTTTCCTTTTCTTTTGCTTTATTTGGTTTGTTCTTTTTTTTTCCATTAATGGTAATATAAAATTACTACACAAAAATATTGGTTATCTATAATAAGTAATATTAGAAAGAGAAATAAAATAATTATATTAGAGAAATCTAAATAATACTCGCTATTTACTAAATACTTATAACTTAATATTACATTAAACCAAGTAAAAATATTTTTGAAACTTTTCTTTTTGATCCTTTGTAAGATAAAATAAAATAAAACTAACTAAACAAAATATTAATAATCTAAAATAAAGAAAATATTTTTGTAGTTTTCTTTTAGTTTTTAAGATAAAATAAGGCAAAGAAGTTTAAAAATAGCCAAAATAGTAATATTAGACCTAAATAAACATATAAACGCTAAACTATGTAAAATTTCGGGGAGGGTAAAAAATCACATGTCTACACTGATCTGGATACATTGGCAGCTCCCCATGACTCATCTCTTGCTCCTAAGTCACCTGCTCTAGTCATGCCTTCATCAGATGCAGTAACTCCACCAATTGCCATACGCAAAGGTATACGTATTACTCAGAAATCAGTACGATTTAACTGCTTAAATTATCATCGATTGTCCTCATTATACTATACCATTGTATCTGCTTTATCTCATGTACCTATACCAAAGACTGTTGGTGAAGCATTGGAACATTCGGGGTGGAAAGGTACTATGATCGAAGAAATGACTGCTCTAAAGACCAATAACGCTTGGGAATTGGTCCAGTTACCAAAAGGAAAATCTAGTGTTGGATATAAGTGGATCTATACAGTAAAGGTAGGTTCAGATGGAACAATTGATCGCCTGAAAGCTCTCCTTGTTGCTAAGGGATACACCCAGATTTATAGCCTTGATTATGGTGACACATTCTCCCCCGTTGCCAATATTGCATCTGTCCGACTGCTTATCTCCTTAGCAGTAATGCGTTGTTGGTCACTTCAATAACTAGATATAAAGAATGCTTTCTTACATGGTGAGCTTGCTGAGGAAGTTTATATGGAGCAACCTCTTGGGTTTGTTGCTCAGGGGGAGTCAAACTTAGTATGCCACCTGAAACGTTTACTATATGGCCTTAAGGAATCTCCGAGAGCATGGTTTGGAAGATTTAGCTCTGTTGTCCAACAATTTGGGACGTCTTAAAGTGAAGCAGATCACTCCATTTTCTATCGACATAATGGTCCAGAAAATAATATTTATCTGGTCGTTTATGTTGATGACATTATCATAACTGGAAATGATCAAGAAGGAATATCTCAACTAAAGAAGCATCTATTCAGTCACTTTCAAACCAAGGACTTGGGAAAGTTAAAGTATTTCTTGGGAATCGAGGTAGCACAATCCAAGACAGGCATTGCTATCTCACAAAGAAAATATGCTTTGGACATACTAGAGGAAACATGCATGTTAAACTGCAAACCTATTGACGCTCCTATGGATGCAAATGTCAAACTCGTCCCTGGACAGGGGGAGCCATTGAATGACCCTGGCAGGTATCGAAGACTGGTCGGTAAGCTAAATTAACTTACTATCACACGACATGATATTTCATTTGCAATAAGTGTGGTTAGTCAGTTTCTCCAAGCTCCGTGTAAAGATTATTGGGACGCAGTAATTCGCATTCTATGATACACCAAAAAATCTCCAGGGCAAGGACTATTATATGAAAACAAAGGTCACACAGGACAATCTCAGATAGACGATCTACTTCTGGGTACTGTATCATGATTGGGGGGAAATCTAATCTCTTGGAAAAGTAAAAAGCAATATGTTGTTGTCAGATCTAGTGCAGAAGCAGAATATCGAGCTATGGCCCTTGCTACACACGAGCTTATTTAGTTGAAACAATTCCTCCAAGAATTGAAATGTGTCGAATTCAAACAGATGAAGCTTATATGTGACAATCAAGCTACCCTTCATATTGCCTCTAATCCCGTTTTTCATGAAAGAACGAAACATATAGAGGTAGATAGTCATTTTATTCGGCAGAAGATTGAGTCCGGATGCATTGCCACCAACTTCGTCGGTTCAAATGACCAGTTGGCAGATGTGCTAACTAAGTCCCTTAGAGGAGCTCGGATTGAACACATTTGTAGCAAGCTTTGAGCATATAACATGTATGCTCCATCTTGAGGAGGAGTGTTAGATATTGTCAGAGAGTATTTCAAATATAAGATTATATGTCGGATAGATAGTCAAATATTGTAGGTAGAAGGCGTGATCTCAGGGATGCATTGTTGACTTATGTGTCTAGCTTTTGTGTATATATTCTCGATGTAATTTATCATTTTAAACATGAAGTGAAATACACTTACATCATTCACACACCGTAAGTTCAGAGAATCGAGTTAGGTAAAAATATCCCAAAGATAATCCCTATGGGGAATAATCTTGAAGGTTCCAATGCACTGTCCTGATTATTACTGCGAACAAAAAATTAAAGATATATATATATATATATATATATTATATAATGGAAAATCACAACTAGGAGTACTTACCATTAAGTGCAGAGCATTCCATGGCAATGTCCATTCCTGATTTCTTGTACCCAACGACGGTTACATGTTTTCCTTTGACAAAGTTGGTTGCAGTTGTTGAGTCCATTTTGGAATAGTCCATTGAATGGATTACTTCACCTTCAAAATCTTGGGGTCCTTTGTTTGGAGGGAATTCAGGGATTTTTGGAACGTGACTGAACCTTCCATGCAAACTACTACAAAATCAGCTTCGTATACCTGCACGTATTTCAATTTTCAACTAGCCATGAGAAATTAAATGATGATGCATGTGCTTATAATCCTTCATTTAATTGTAAAATTGGTAACTAAGACTTTCTAATATGAATGTTTTGTTTTCAACATACCTTGAACACTTATATAGTAACATCTTATGGAATCTAACAACTTCTGTTCTGTTTATCACAAAAGATTTTAGTCTTTCCACTGATAAACTCTGCTCATGTCAAACCAAAAATAATCATTGAACTAAACTATTAAATCTCAGGTCAAATTAAAACATTTTACTTTTGAACAGGCAAAGAATTAATTGCAAGAAGATTAACACTTTAACATTCTATTTCCTTTCTGTTACTATTTGTTAACCAAACACTGCCGTGCACAGATGTGAATGGAAAAAGAAAAGCAAACTAGCTAGAAAGGGAAAAGAGAAGTCCAAACAAACCAAACAGAAAAGATTTGAGGAGTATTTATGCTTATCTAAGTTACTAAACGTTAAAAATGCTTATCATATTGGACGCCTGACTCCTACACGAATCTCGAATGCCAATGGGAACATTTTGGAAGCGATAAAGAAATAATAAAGCAGTGGCTTAGAGACCTTTATTTTAATGGATTTGCTGTAATCGGATGGTTAATTACCTGTGTGTCGAGGGTTCGAGTGTCCTGTACAGTTACGTTCCATTTCCCCTTAGAGCTAAAAGGCTCGCCGGTGCCACACCACAAATCCCATTCTCCATTGGAGTCACCACCAGATTCATAGCTGAGGCTCAACACTTTGCTATTGAACTGAATGTGACAGAGCAAATCAAAATGACGAGCGTATGATTCAATGTACTCTAAAACGGTGCGTTGGTCGGGGAACACATCGGTTACAGAATCAGGCCATGGAAAATCAGAGAACTGGTAAAGAGGTTTTGGTGTATGCAGCTTGGTACTCCCAATTGTCTTAGTCCATACACCTCCAATGCTATTCTCGGACTCAAATACAATTGGATCAAAACCTTTTGAAAGTGTGTACTTGCAGGCTAAAAGGCCGCTGATTCCAGCTCCAACTATTGCTATCACTTGCTTCTTTCTGCTTTCTCTGCGATCATTATTTGCCATTAATTTTTACTGCAACACTCTCTCCTCGATCTTTTTTCTGTAATATGAGGATGATGGGGTTGAATGTTGATAGCTAGAGAACTTGAATTAGCTTCTATATAATATAGTTAATGACCGAGAGATGAGATAATTTGATTCCTTGCATGGCTTAATTACTCGTAGGCTGTAGCCAATGCTTATTATTCTCCACTAATCAGGACTGGTTACTTAAGGGTGTGGAATTGCATTCCTTGATCAGAATACGTAATCCTCTGTGATCAGAGGCTAATGCAAAGTTCCGTTACCTCATACTTTTACATCTCTCCATGTCCACGTGATAGATTTTTTTTCTGGTAAATATCAGTGTCAAAAAAATCTTAAAGTCGCATCAGAGAAGATTTCGTTTGTAAAACGGTTATATATACTGATAGCTACAACAACAACAACAACAACAACCCAGTGTAATCCCACAAGTAGGGTCTGGGAGGGTAATATGTACGCAGACCTTACCTCTACCCCGAGGGGCAGAGAGGCTGTTTCCAGGAGACCCTCGGCTCAAAGAGGCAACAAGAGACACTATATTAGTACTATCAATAGACTCATAATAAAATAACATAAAATACCATAAAATCCATAACATAACATAAATACCATAAAATAACAAAGTAACAGCAATATAAGAGATATAAGAAATACGAGAAAGATGTAAAGTATTAATACACAGCAGATAAAGTCCATCATCAGTAGTTGATATATATACTGATAGCTACGTTGTTTGATATTCCCTTTGTTCCTATTTATACGAGGGTGTATTTTATATGGAACTAGTGAATTTGCCGCGCTTCGCGCTGTGATAAAAATAAATTAATGAATATAAAAAAGTCCTTTATAATTTTAATTCTGTAATTTGGAAGAAAATGTAGTACATACAAAGATTGTTTCAATTAGCTCCAAGACTCTTCATATAATTATTTCCAAAAAAAAAAATTGATGGGGAAAAAAGGGATGATAATTATAAATGTGTTTCTTAGCGATAAATATATCACATATATATATACACATACACACACCCACTACATTGGTATTTTTCAAAATTTCTTGTAATTAGAAATATGAAAACAGAGAAGAAGACCCAAATCCAATTATTTTGACACATTGCGTAAAAAAAGAAAGAAATGTACGATTTTTTTCTTTTCTTTTTGCCCTTTTATTTCCCTTTCCTTCTTTTCTTCTTTTTCTCCCCCCTAACTTTTGTTTTCCTCTATCGCTAAGATGGACTTCTTTTTTGTTCTCCTAATTTGCATTTGTAACAAATATCTGAATAAATCTGCAAATTATACTATTTCATATAAATGCACATGCATAGTACGTAAAAAAAAGAAAGAAATATATGAATTTTTTTCTTTTCGTTTTCCCCTGTTATTTCTCTTTCCTTCTTTTCTTTCTTTTCTCCCTCTAGTTTATGTTTTCCTCCCTCACTAAGATAAATTCCTTTTTTGTTCTCCTAATTTGCCTTTGTAACAAACATCTGAACAAATATGTAAACTACACTACTCGATATAAAAACACATGCACAATCTTTATAGAGGTGAGATTGTCATTAAACATAACCAATTGAAAACAAAAGATTATAGATGATATATCAACATCCGCCAAGGTTTCGGGCTGTAAATATGTCTCTTGAACCAAAAATAACCAAATATGTTAGAATATTGCCGCAAAAATGAGATTGTCGTTAAACCTGGTCGATTGAAAAAAAAAATTACACATTACCAACATCCGCCAAAATTTAAGGTTACAAATATGTCTCCTGAACCTGAAAAATAACCAAGTATGTTAGGATATGTTTTTGAAATCTGTGCAACAAATTTATGCCATCCTATAAAACTGTAAGAATTTTTTTAAGACATGCAATCATGGAAATTAGTACAAAAAAGATTGAGTGAATGAAAAATCAAAAGTCTAGAGGGAGAATTGGGTGATGGGGAGAAAGATATAAATATTACTATAAATAAAAAGACAACCACATTAAGATATGAGTGAAGGAAGAAAATAAATGCATATGTTTAAATGAGGAAGGTGAATGAAACTAATAAGGAGAGGAGGCATTTGGAATAGAAGGAACATTTCGGCGAAGAGTACAAATGGGGTAATTAAGAGGAATGAAATTAATGACATATTTGCCATTAGAAATAAAATAAATGAAAAAATAAGGGGAAAGAAGCCAAAAAAAAAGGAGAAAAAGATAAATAGGATCCTTGACCAAAGAAAGGTGCCAAGTCGTCTTCTCTTTTCCTCAATTTTATTTATATATATATATATATATATATATATATAATATCGTTGTTTGTCCTTGAATAGTTTCAACTGATCGATCACGAAGTCTTGAGGCTTGTTTATCACCTTTTAATTGAATGTAATTCAACTCATTATGTAAATGAATCATCATCTTCTTCTCCTTCTTCTTATCCACACAATAGATTAAAGCTTTAAATTTTTCCAGTGAGTGATAATTAACGCATCATTAACCAAATGAAACTATAAGCAAAGCGGAACTTTACTACAAACACATTTTTTTTGGTTGAATGGTAACTAAAAGGATGATGTAGGGTTGCTACTCAGTTATCCATGATAGACATGAAACACAGCCTTGGGTTTCAAATTTCTATTTGTCTATATATAGGTTCGGCCTCAAGCTACTGGCTGCAAATTAATGTTGCATGCTATAATTTTTAAAGTATAATTCCATGCTAATAATTTCAGAATGAACATTAAAATGTAAGGGAAAGTACCCCTCCTCCCTTTTTCTTTACCTCAAGAATGTTAACGAAGCCAACATCAAAATTAGAACATGGTGAAATTGTTATAAAAATTCTTAGCTAGGGATCAATCGATTTTTTTTTTCTGTTTAAAAAATAATCCATCACATTCACGATAAAAAAAATTCTTTTCTCATACCAAAAAGGTCCTATTAGAAAAGCTATATTCTCTTTACATTCACCACATCTTTTGTTCTAACTTCTGAGTTCTAATTCTTACACCTTCACAAACAATAGTCAAAAATAATTTTTTATTTTTCGAATTACTTCAATTTTCTCTTTTCTTTCTGTATCTCAAAAAATTGTATACCTAAGAACGAAGATTGTATAAGGAACCAAGCAAGAGATGATACCTTAATACATAAATTGAACCAAACAAGAGATTACTATTTTATTGTCATCAATATAATTCCCCTGGTGATGTTAATATCATCAAACTTGTTGTGAAGGTAACGTTCTGGCTTATAGCAGGCTTATATAGACAAAGACATTCAGAATATAGATGAAAACTTCCAGGTAGCAAAAGACAGAAAACTTCTAATAATGATGAAAATTAAACTTGCAAAAGCCACATTCACAAGAGGCAAAATACAGGGAAAAACAAAAAGTGAAATTGAAAGAGCATACAACACTGTGATTTCTTGATCAATTCAATTCAAAGAAATCCTCTAAAGCTTCTTCCTCTTCTTCAATTCAGAAACATAAAACGTCTTAATAATATCTCAAACCTAAGTAATCGAATTTCCCTCATTTCTGAAAAAAAAATTCAATAAAATCTTGATATAATACTCAAACCTAAGTTTAGTTTTTGTCACTTTATTCTTATATATCTTTCAGATAATTAATAATTAATCAAATTTGTTGTAATCACATAAAATCTACATGAAATAAACTATTGTATGCGTTATTAATCCAACAAATTATAATTTTCCTAGTGCAAATATGGAGTGACTAAGCATCAATTGTATACATAAGTTGCTCTAATTGTTTGAATGCCATTTAAGAGGTTAAAGAATTAAGCACAAACCTGATAACCATAAGTACGCTGAAACAATCAATAAAACCGATCTGATGAACAAAAGGTGAAACTGCAAAAAAAAAAAAAAAAAAAAAAAAAAAAAAAAAAAAAAAAAAAAAAAAGGTTAACCATCAGCGGGAAAAAAAAAGGCAAAAAGTAAAAAGTAAGATACAAAATGAGTGGAAATGCAACAGAGGACGGCGGAGCCCTGGACATAAAAACAACTCTGATAAAGCACGCATAACATCGTTTTGACCAGTTTTCTTTTTAGCATGCTTTGATGTGTCCATAGAGAGATGTATATGTATGCCGATTGAGAGCTCCAAAAAATGGGATCAATTTCCTGTTGCAAATGAATTTGGGTAGCCAATGCAGCGTTTAATAAGGATTGTTTTTTGAGTCTGATCAATGTAGCGTCGGTTACAAACGATATTTAAGGTGGTTTATCGTTTCTACTTTCATATAATTATTGTTTTAAGTTTTTTCAGTTATCACGTTAATTGAACGAATTAATTACTTCAAATGGCTGGAAAAATAAAGTATTTAATTGAGAAAAAAAAAGAGTAAAGTCCCAAAAAAAGGAGAAAAGAGATATATATGATTCTTGGCTTTAGAGAGTGCCAAGTCACCTTGTCAAATGCCCTCTTATATATANTCCTTGCGATAAAATAAAAAGATTAACGTTAAATTATTTTTGCATATAAAAATATATCATTCTTTTCGAGATAGATTAAAAAGAAATAGACTCATATAAATATATCATTCTTTTTGAGATAGTATAAATGAGGCTTCCAAAGGTGGATCACAAACTTATTGTGCGAATGCAAGGGGAAAAGAGTGACAAGGTAACAACTTGTTTCGATGGTTGTTCATAATGAATCGTATAATATTGTACTGTATTATATTTTTTTTTTAACAATTGTGAATATTACCGTAACAAAAAAAATTAATCAATACATCTAAAGAGTACCTAGGATCACAACCATCTTCTAGGAAGAGTATTGCAAAGTACTAGGCCTCCAACTGCATCTAATTGCAAATGAGTTTCTAAATATGACTCAGACATCTACGTGCTTTCTTAGACAATTGAACTACCCCTATTCTCTCCATGGTTTCCTTTTTTATCTGTGTCACAACTAACTCTATATTTACATTTCTTTGTGTTATTTGTAGCTTGAATTATTTCCTTGTATTTTTAGGAAACCCATAGTCCCTATAGGTTTAGGAAAACCCATTGTCCTAATAGAATTGGGAAAGAAAAACTTATAGTCCTTGTCAAATTGGGAAACCTTTCTCATATATGTTTGAGAACTTTTGGGATCTATATATAGGGGTTGTAGTTGGGGATTCTATAGATTGTATTGTGCTTTTCTTCTCATTCATAGTGGAAAACTCTCTCTGTTTTTGCCCCGAGGATTAGGCTTGGCCGAACCTCGTTAAATCCTTGTGTTAATTTTTCTTCTCTATTTGCTTTGTATGTGATTGTGTGCTAGTTAACCCACGATATTCCGCAACAATTGGTATCAGAGCAAGGTTCGGGTTTCTACACATAATTAGGGTTAAGATGTCTTCATCATCTTCAACAAAGCACGAAGTAGAGAAATTTGATGGAGGTTCTAGTTTCAGTCTATGGAAGATTAGGATGAAATCGTCCTTGGTGTTACAAGGATTATGGAAAGCAATTGATGAGGATTTTCCTGAAGATATGAAAGAGACAAAGAAGGAAGACCTGAAGGAGAGGGCGTTGAGTGCGATCTTCATGAGCGTTACAGATAGCGTTCTTCGTGAAATTGCTGAAGAAACTTCTGCAGCAACGGCATGGAAGAAGCTGGAAGATCTGTATTCTAAGAAATCGCTGACAAATCACCTCTACCTGAAAAAGAGGTTATACAATTTCCGTATGAACGAAGGTACACCTGTTAAAACTCACCTTGATGAGTTTAATTCAATTATAATGGACCTGAAGAATGTGGATATCAAAATTAAGAGTGAGGATCAGGCCTTGATTGTGCTATATTCTTTACCACAGTCTTATGATATTTTTGCCGATACACTGCTATATGGGAAAGATAGCATTTCACTAGAAGATGTTAGTAATGCACTAAAATCTAAAGAGTTGAAAAAGAGCTTTCCAGACAACAGAATTGAGGGCGAGAGTCTTGTGATTAGAGGAAGAACACAACAAAAGGACTTTAACAGGAAAAAGTCAACCGCAAGATCAAAGTCTAGAGCAAGGAAGCAAAACTGTTATGAGTGCGGGGAGCAAGGTCACTACAAGAGAGATTGTCCTAAGCTGAAGGAGAAAAGAGGGAAGCAGAAAATAGATAATTCGGCAAATATTATTGACACTGACAATAATTCTGATGATAGTGATTATGTAGGGGAAGTTTGTGCTGTGAATTCTAGTCATGGGCAAAATTCTTGGGTTCTTGATTCTGGTGCTACTTTCCACGTGAGTCCACACAAGAATTGGTTTGCAACTTACAAACAAATAAGTGAGACTGTCTATATGGGAGATGATAATCCATTACCAGTAGAGGGGGTTGGTAACATCAAATTGAGAATGTTCGACGGAATTATCAGAAACATTGAGTGTTGGCATGTTCCTCGGATAAAGAGAAATTTGATTTCTCTTTCGACTTTGGATGATCAAGGGTATAAATTTCACTCCGAGAATGGAATACTTAAAGTGTGTAAAGGCTCCATGGTACTCATGAAGGGTAAACTACATTCTAAATTGTATCATCTTCAGGCCAGTGTAGTTGAAGGGGAAGTTGTTGTAGCTTCTGGGAAAAGTGATCTGAATCAGTCTCAGTTGTGGCACTTGCGACTTGGCCATATGAGTGATAATGGATTGTCTTTGTTGAGTAAGCAGAATTTGCTGAATGGGTACAAAAATCAAGTTTTGAATTTTTGTGAGCATTGTGTGTTTGGTAAACAGACAAGGGTAAAGTTCANTAGACAAGGATAAAGTTCATCAAGAAGGTCGAGCACAAGACCAGAGACAAGTTAAATTATATACACTCTGACTTGTGGGGTCCAAACAGAGTTCCCTCCAAAAGTGGTGCCAGGTATTTTATGACTTTGATTGATGATTACTCGAGGATGGTGTGGGTGTATTTTTTGAAAACAAAAGATGAGGCATTTTCGACATTTGTTAAATGGAAGACGATGGTTGAGAGGCAGACGGAAAGAAAAGTTAAGCGTCTTCGAACTGACAATGGGTTGGAATTTTGCAATTCTGAGTTCGATAATTTCTGTAGCAAGGAGGGCATAGTGAGACACTTCACTTGTGTCGGAACACCACAACAAAATGGTGTTGCAGAACGTATGAATAGAACGCTTTGTGATAGGGCACGAAGCATGCTTTCACACTCATGTGTTAGCAAAGATTTTTAGGCTGAAGCAATCAATACAACTTGTTATTTGGTTAATAGATCTCCATCCACAACTATTGAGTTCAAAACTCCTTTTGAGGTATGGTCCGGTTCGCCTGCTGATTATTCAAATTTAAGGATATTTGGTTGTCCTGCTTATGCTCATGTGAGGGATGGAAAACTTGAGCCGAGGGCAAAGAAGTGCATATTTCTAGGGTATGCAATTGGAGTGAAAGGTTATAAGTTGTGGTGTACAGATCAAAAGACTCCAGGGCTAATTATCAGTAGGGATGTAACATTCAATGAATCTGCCTCACTGGACAGTCAGAGGGAGAAGACAATAGCAAAAACAGATCGTGGTGTCAGTGACCGCATAGAGCTAGAAATTGAATCTCCACTAGCTCAGCCCAGTAGTTCTAAAGTAGAGGAAGTGGATGGGGTGGAAAATATTGATCAAGACGATAATGTTGATGCACTTGCGCAATAACAACCATATAACATTGCAACAGGCAGGGAGAAGAGAGTGATCAACCGACCGCAAAGGTTGGCAAACGTAGTTGATGGGAATCTTCTTGGATATACGAATCCAGTGAGATTTGCTTTGGCAGTTGCAGAGACCGTTGATGCGTTTGAGTGTTATAGCTATCTAGAAGCTATTCCGAGTATAGAACCAAATCGACGGATTAGTCCTATGAGTAAAGAGATTGAGTCTCTTAACACGTTTAGGTATTTCCTAGACTTGGTTGATGCGTGCGAAAATGGATAGAGCCCTTGCAAGGGCTGAGGGCAAGGTAGAGAGACAGAATTCAAGCCAAGGGGAAGATTTGTTATTTGTGGCTTGAATTATTTCCTTGTATTTTTAGGAAACCCATAGTCCCTATAGGTTTAGGAAAATCCATTGTCCTAATAGAATTGAGAAAGGAAAACCTATAGTCCTTGTCAAATTGGGAAACCTTTCTCATATATGTTTGGGACCTTTTGGGATCTATATATAGGGGTTGTAGTTGGAGATTCTATAGATTGTATTGTGCTTTTCTTCTCATTCATAGTGGAAAACTCTCTCTGCTTTTGCCCCGAGGATTAGGCCTGGCCGAACCTCGTTAAATCCTTGTGTTAATTTTTCTTCTCTATTTGCTTTGTATGTGATTGTGTGATAGTTAATCCACGATATTCCGCAACACTTCCCTTAATTTTTTTCCAGTTTCTTGCCTTTCATGCATGATACACCATTGCACTATATGCTGCTGTCAACACTTGTTTTACTTCTCCCAGCTGTATTGTAGTTCCTAGTCATGGCATTAACCGTTGTCGAACTTCCTTTATCCAAGAGCATTCAGCAAACAGTTGTCTCGCACCAATAGTATAAAGAATAAACTTGCAATATTATATAAAAAAATATGATACGAGGTAGAATTATTATATAACATATAGGGTAAAGATAAAATATATAATTTTTTAATACTATTAGGAAGGATAAGTTGAGAGGAATATATAAGGTAACAATGCGACCACACCAAATCGATCGTTCTATGACAGCTTGTTTGGATGGTTGTTATGTATCGTTTCATAATATACGGTATTGTACTGTATCGTTTTGATGTATACAATGTTGGAATAGATTCTCTTGTTTGTCGTCGTTTCATGTTGTCATGCACCAATATTACGAAGAATAAACTTGCAATATTATAAAGAAAAAGTAAGGTACGAAGTAGAATTATTATATAAAAACGTCCGATAAAGGATAAAATAAAATTATTTAATAATAAGGAAGGGTAAAATGAGAGAAAAAAATAAGGTAACGATGCGACCACTATACCAAATCGGTCATTGCATAAAGTGGTGCCTTTTGTTATTATATGACAACAGATTTAACAATACGAAAAAATAAAATTTAATTAACAATCAAAACAAACATTGGATTTAAAGTAACAATATGATACAGTACAATAGATAACAACCATCCAAACACGCTATAAAGCACCCGGCCATCA